ATATTCTTATAATATTAGATTAAATTAACAATCTAATATTTGATTTATAAATCTAAATTAAAGATAAAATCCATGAGATAAAAATGCTTTATAAAAAAAATTATACAGTTGTTATAATTATGAGATTCATATTATATTAAAACATTGTTTTTAAAATATTTATGGTTGATGCTCTTTTAAATATTGAATATTTATTAGACTTGTAGAGACTGATACATAGTATATTCTTTCATTTACGAAAGGAAACATCTATTCTTATAAGTTGAGATCTAAGAGATGCCTAGAACTTATATAAAGATGCTTGTCCTAAGACATGTATATATTGAACTGCTCTGCATAAGAATTTTAAATGAAGATATTATTTGTGTCTATAAAAATACTAACATAATTGTGTCAGTGATCTTTAAATCTAAAATCACTATGTTATCTTACATAGAAAATGTTATGTTTTAATCATGTTACACGTTATCTTGGTAAAAGTAACAAATGGGTAGACATTAGATATAATATAAACTATATGAAGGTATTTGAGTGATTAATAGATGATTTATCACCCTAGGTAAATTAGAAAAAATATTCAATATTTTCTTAAATAGTATTGAATGTTGAATCCATGCACAAGGTAGAATGAGATTTAAAAAGAATTTCAAATCTTATTTAAATGATCAATAACTATAATGTTGTGAATAAATATGATTTTAGAAGGCAGACACATGTCATGTTAAAATATCTAAATCAGAATATTATTAATGAAGCGATAATAATTATATTGGGAAACCGATTAATGAAATATGAAATTAAATCATTTATGACTTTTCTAATATTTAGGAGATCATGACATGTTGTTAAATAGTGCACTTAATCTTCAAATATAAATAAATCAATTATTGAATTGATAATAAATTGAATTATTTGATTTATTTAATTCTATTTATGTAGAATTATAATTTAAAATTGGACCAATATATTAAGAACCTAAAGGGTCATATATATTAAGAATTATTAGTTACAAAATAAACTCGGATAATTATTTAAGTGTAACTTGATTGAAAATAATTTTAGAAATTAAGCACTATAATGCATTTAATTTAGACATTATAATTCTAGTTCTAAAATAATCAAGTATGAACTTCATTGATTGAATTTGTAAAATTATCTTTAAATAATATATGAATATTATTTAATGAGAAAACACATATTTTGTCATTTATAAGGATTTTAGGGTTTTCTATAAATATAAAGTTATGCCTTTTATTTTTTAAAAGAATTATTTATTAGATAGAAAAACTATGTAAATTGTAAAATAAAAAAGTTATTACTCTAGAAATAATAATCTCTCTTTAAAATAGAAATTTAGAAGATTTTTTTTTAATAATTCATGTATATTATTATTGAAAACTGAATAATTAAACGGTTTTCATTTATAATTTGACTAGATGATCATTATTTACAACACAAGTTCTTTAGAAGAAGCTTTATATGTCTTTTTTGTCCACGTCTCATCAACTAGCAGATCTCCTTAACCAAACCACTGCCTTCTGCTCGCTTTCACTTGTTATGAACCAACCTTCATGTGCAGGACCTGCCCCTATGATTGAGGGGGCCTTTTAGGGTCTATATATGACGCTTCCGATTGGAATGGAACTGATGTTGCTGAAGATGAGGATAAAGCTGTTGATTACAAGGATGCTAGCTGAGAATCATGTTACAGAAAACAAGTAACATAATCCTAGAGAGTCTTGAATATTTGTATTTTACGACTTTCAGATATTTGTTATATGATTTGTTACATAGGCTTCACGTTCAAGATTAATGAGAATAACAGTTTTATATCCTATCAATTATAGATTAATGAGAATAACAGTTTTATATCCTATCAATTATAGATTAATGAGAATAACAGTTTTATATCCTATCAATTATCTACTTCAAGAAGAAGAAGAAGAAGAAGCAGCAGCTTATGCTGTCGGGCCCGCTTGTTTCAGCCACAATTTGCTTAGTTGCCCTGATCGAATGCTAAGAAAGTCAGATGTAGCATGTCATCAGAGAAGCTACAGCTATGGACTCTCTCAAGGAAAATTGAGAGATAATTAGCATGGAACAGTGCCTCTCTTGATTGGAAACTAACATTAGCAGTAAAGATTATATGGAACTTGAAGAAAAATGTATGCAATATTAGTTTCTTCAAATAATCATTAGCATCATTACAGACCTTCCACCACATTGAAGCTACAAGCCTTCCAAGTAGTCCATGTGGAGTCATTATGCTTCACCCACCATCATCTTATTTTTTTCACCTGTGTTTAATTACCAGTGCAAAATTTATTTCTGATGGACAACAGAATACAAAACAAGTGAGCGATAAAACTAAGTAAACGTTTTAATTTTATTACATATAATTATCCTTTCAAAAGTGGATCCGTGGCGCAATGGTAGCGCGTCTGACTCCAGATCAGAAGGTTGCGTGTTCGATTCACGTCGGGTTCAATTCCTTGCTTTCCCCCTTTTTTCTTTTGATTTATTATAACTTTTAAAAGGCCCCGGATCTTATATATCTCTAACAATCCAACCCCTATTCTTTCTAAAATTACCTATTCTTCCAAACATTTAAGAACCACTATCAAATCTGACCCTCGTTTTTTGCAACCCCAAAAATTTGGCATCACTGCATTTTCTGCGGGTCTCAACATTATATCCTTCTTGATTTACTCCACATATTTCAAAATTTATGATACTCATTCAATCGAGATGGAATGTGTTCAAACGGGCGATCAATTTTTAATAGAATTTATTTACATATTCAATAGTTAAAATGATATCATGAAATTATATCTAAAAATAAAGAATTTAAAGAATCTTTACTAAATCCAAAAAAAATAAAATTTAAATGATAGTTATGGTTAAAATTGTTTTAGAACAAAATCACGAATATTTATTTTAAAATATGAAATGATTTATTATATTTTATTAACCAAAAATAAATACAATATAATAATTATAAAAAGCATTAAAAGGTATGAGAGAAATATTATATCTATATACCACTCTCTACACACAATTCAACGTGTATTGCTACAATAAAATTTGTTTTATTGTGGTTTTTAAAGTTTTTTCTCTTTGATTTAGTTTTTTATGGGGCCAAATTGATAAATAATTGATTTTGATTTGTTAGTTAGTTATGAGATTGAAAGATGAAGAATCAAAAGGAGAAATGCTAAAAAATAAAGCAATTACAAAGTTTACATGAAAAGTTTACTTCATTATACTTTTCAATTTTTTTTTAGTTCCCTTGGTTTTTGAAATTTCAAGTTTGATTCAATACTTCATTTTCCTTGCTTGTTATTCCTTGGTTTGGGTGTTGAGAAAAAATCATCAATTTCAGTAACAAAAAGAGAAATTCTCGGTTTATACTAATTTAGTCTATAAAAAATATTGATCTTAATATTAATGAGTTCCACTCGATGAAGAGAGTCTCACTCATGTATTATCTAATTTTTCCATCACATGAGATCGATAATCCGAACTCAAAATTTATTTTATTTTGTTTTTTAAACATATTTTAGGTTATTTGAGGTTATATATGAGTTTATCAAAATATATAAAGTATTATATAAGTGTTTCTAGTTAAAAAATGGTTTCAAAAGTGATTTTCTAAAAAAAAAAAATCTAACTTAAATGTTTTGTCTACCATTATGATTGGATTCCAGAAAAAAAGAAATGATATATCACTTACTTTTAATTATGTTTTTTTTAAAAAAATAAAAAACATCAAGTTATTCATTTTTAAAAATAAAATTTAGCCTAAATAGGTAAGTCTAGGTTGAAAGTCCATGTGACTAGGCTTTTTAAACCTAGATACGCTAAGTCATCCAAACCTTGCTTATGTGTTTGAATTTATTTATTTATTTATTTATTGGTTTATTTTTTATTTTTTTATTTTAATTTTATTATTCAATGATATTTATTGAGTTTTTTATTGATTTTTTTTTCAATCTTAACATATTTTTAATGAAATCTAATGATATTTTTAATGTAATATGATTTAATTTTTATTTAATTTACAAGTAAGATTTCAATATTTTTTTTATAATATCACGAGACATTCTTTCTATATAGTCTTATTTGATTTTTTTCATTACAATAATTTTATTCAATGTTTTTTATTATTATCATTTTATTAAATAAAACATTAGTTTGAATAAACAAAATTATTAAATATAATTAAGTTCATGACTCATGACTCATATTTCAAGATAAGATATTTATATTAATATTTATCTCTTAATTTTTCTATTTATTTTTTGGTTAATTATCATATATGTTTTACTTGATTTTCATATAAAATTATAACATTTTTTTTTCTAATATTGCATAATATTTTATTCAGTTGCTTTCATGTATATGTCTATGTTTATTTTTGTCTAATTAAATAAAAAATTAATTTTAATAAATAAAGTTAATAAATATAAACGGATACATGACCCGTTACAAGATTAAAGATTTTGATTTTTATTTATTTTTTGATTTTTTCTGTTTAGTCTTTAATTATCATTAACTCTTTATTTTTGTATTTATTAAAATAAATAATTTTATTTATTTAATTAAATACATGTATCAACTTTTCAATTTGTAATTAAGATTTTTATTAAAAAAACTTGTTAAAAATTACAAATATTTATTATTTTGTATTGGAGAAAAATTTATTTGACAATAATTAATATTTTTAAAATAACTTTGAGAGGTATAATTCAGTTGTTAGACTTTAAGTTTTTTCTAAAAATTACTGTTGTAAATTTTAAAATTTTTAGAACCACTAAAAATTTATATAATTATTAATTTTAATATTTATAAAATTAATTAAGATAATGTATATTCATATTAATAATAATTAAAAAATAAAGTTAAAGACTCACTTTTGTGAAATAACGTTTCCAATTTTTACTCCATTTTTCGTGATTTATTTTATTTTTTTAACACCCGTTCCCCAAATCTCACCCTTATTTGTCATGAAAGCCCATTTTCTCTTTTAAATCCTATGTGAACCCCTTTTCCATACGAAGAAGATGCTAACAACTGTCATCTGATACTGATATGTTGAGATGAACTTTAATAGCAAATACTCAAACCCCCACTGTTGCATAACCAAGAAAAATGCTATCACCACACTCTCTGCAACTCTCGACGCTCCATTCTTCTTCTTTTACCCATAGCGTTTCTCTAATTTACAATCCCACCCCTTCTCTTCCATGGCATCCAATGAAATATTCTCCAACACAGGTATCCTGTGTTTCCACCCGACCCAAAAAGAGACCGGTTCCAACCGACGACAAATCGGAGGCACAAGAGCTAGTTCGGGTCCTTGTGAGGAGTTTCAGTGACAAACAACCTTTGGTCAAGACACTTAATAAGTATGTTAAAGTCATGAGGACTGAGCACTGCTTTATGCTGTTTGAAGAACTTGGCAAGACTGACAATTGGCTTCAATGCCTCGAGGTTTTTGTGCTTTTTGGCTCCTTGTATTGGATCTTTGTGTGTTCTTAGCTTGTGGGTCCTCGATATTAATGGGTTTTTATTTTTGTTTTGCTTAAATTTCTTTTCCTTGTACATGTATGATCTGGTTTTGGTTCGTTTTTTGATTTAGTTATTGAATGAGTAAAAAATTGGTTTTTAAGTGAGTTTTTTTCTTTTTTTGACTCTGTTTTCTTTGTCCTTCGAGCTCTGCATAGACCCAAAGTTTCCAAACCATATAGTATCAAGCTGTAATTAAAGAGTGGAACTTCTTATGTCATATTCTTTATGTAATTAGACATCATGGGTTATCATTTTAAACTAAGATAGTCCAGAGGTTTGGCAATGTTCGTGTAATTAAATTCAATTGTGTTAACTAACGGTAATGCACTTAAGTAGAGGAAAGTTTTGAATTGCAGTGAGTTTGTTGCGAATCCTATATCATTTCAAATACTTGTTAAACATTAGTCAGACTCGGAGTCATGGCATTTCTAAGAAGTTAGAATATAACTATCTAGTTGTACACACGACCTGAAATGAGATGAAAGGTTGTTTACTTACAAGGTGCATGCTCAGGTGTTCAGATGGATGCAAAAACAACGGTGGTATGTGGCGGATAATGGTTGTTATTCGAAGTTGATATCAGTTATGGGAAAGAAAGGTCAAACCCGGATGGCAATGTGGCTCTTTTCGGAGATGCGTAACAGTGGATGCAGGCCAGATACTTCAGTCTACAATGCACTCATCACAGCCCACCTTCACTCCAAAGATAAAGCTAAGGCTTTGACTAAAGCTCTTGCATACTTTGAGAAGATGAAAGGTATTGAACGGTGCCAACCCAATGTTGTGACATATAATATTCTTTTGAGAGCGTTTGCCCAAGCTCGAAATGTAAATCAAGTCAATGCTTTATTTAAAGATCTTGAGGAGAGCATTGTTTCACCTGATATCTATACATATAATGGTGTGTTGGATGCATATGGGAAGAATGGGATGATCAGAGAAATGGAATCTGTACTTTCTCGCATGAAAATTGATCAATGCAAGCCTGATATTATTACTTTTAATTTGCTGATTGATTCATATGGGAAGAAGCAAGATTTTGAGAAGATGGAACAAGTTTTTAAGAGTTTACTAAGGTCCAAGGAGAAACCAACTTTGCCTACATTCAATTCTATGATAGTAAATTATGGGAAGGCACGGTTGAAAGATAAAGCGGAGAGTGTTTTCAAGAAGATGGCTGATATGAGATACACACCAAGCTTCATCACATTTGAAAGTCTCATCATGATGTATGGAATTTGTGACTGTGTTTCTAAGGCCAGAGATATATTTGATGATATGGTTGCATCAGGAAAGGTGGTCAAAGTTTCAACGTTAAATGCTGTGCTTAATGTTTATTGTATGAATGGTTTGCATATGGAAGCGCATATACTCCTTGAAAATGCACGTAGTAGTGGGGTGCCTCCAAATTCATCCACGTATAAACTTCTTTACAGGGCCTACACCAAAGCTAAAATGAAGGAGCTTGTGCAGAAGTTGCTAAAGCATATGGACAAAGATGGTATCATCCCTAATAAGAGATTCTTTGTGGATGCTTTGGGAGCTTCCAAATCTTCAGGGGCCAGTTCGGAATCTACCATTCCTCTCAAAGTTTCAAACAGTCCACAGAACGTTGCCAAGACTTTGGAAGAATGATTGGTAGTTTGCTTTATGGTTTCTTCTTATCTTTTCCAATTCAGAAGGATTTGTAAAGTTTGTATCACAAAGGAACAGTTGGCTACTTAGCCCCTGGCAGCTCGGTATGTATTTATCACCCTTTAATTAGCCTCCTGATCATATTTTCTATCCTTCATGGCTTCATGCTTTGTTTCTTGAAAAGCAACATCCTTCCGCTATCTTTACTTTTATCTTGAAATTCAATATGTCCCAAAATATCTTGAATGCAGTACTTGTTGCACCAGCTCTTTTTGTGGAGCTTCTCTGTCTGCATTTCAATTTAGAGTTCACATATTCTGTGTAGGCAATCCCGACAAAGCAGGGTTTCAGTACTTTAACTGCTGGTGTTAAAACATCTGCATTCTTTATGGATAAAGAAATTGTCCTTATGGCCAAACCTAACTGCTTGTTTCTAGACTTAACTTGCTTTTTATCTTTGTTTCAGTGATAACATTGCTTGTTGGCTTTAACTTGAAATTTAAGCTACGAGACCTAGCCAATTTACATGCAAAGATTTAATGCTGCTAGTGTTTCCTTTTGCTACCCTAAAAACAAACCCAGAAAAAAATGAGATCCTGTTTCAGCAAATAACCTTGGCTAGAATGGTTTTGGTGTTTTAATTAGTAAACAGGTTACGTTCCAGTGGCCACCATCTCCTTCCCTGTTTACTTGTTTTGTTTTACATTAACTTGAATCATTATGGGAAAACCTTGAACATGGGGACTGGTCTTATCGCCGTTGCGAAGATAGCATTGTTTATTTTTTTTGGTGCAAGACAAGATATTATTGTACAAGCCATTCTTTTTTATCTTAATTTGTTGCAACTTACAGCTGACGTATAACTGCAGCGACTATTTTAGCGTTCTCAAAGACCAGGCTGGGATATTCGACTAAATATCTGCAGATTAGGATGACCAATCTGATTGCAGCCACATTCCCTTGGTAAAGAAAGGAAACCGTCATTTGAATTTTCTCACTTGCGCTTCTGATGACACCAGCTTGTGATAGTCCTGCTAATTTATCTACCTCCAGGTAACAGCTTGAAATTCTCGGTTCAGATGTTCTTTTTTAAGAATATGAAACTGTCATCTTTTAGATGGATTCTATTAATTTCATTTGTCACAGAGTCGGGCTACTGCAACCTCTATTCCAGGTTCAAACTGTGATTTAACATCACAACTAAAAACAAAATGAGCATTAGCAGTAAATTTGGGTGTTGCATGGCTGGCCAAAAAGCAGTTAGGCACAGTTTAATCATGAGTGTGATAATGAGATATTATTCTGGGTTTTCCTTGCAAAATTGGAGCACACAAGGTGAAAATAAAAGTCACATCTAACTTGAATCTGGCAAGTTAATTTGGAATAAATAGGTCAACTTCTCTGTAACTTTGAAATCGATTAAAATGAAAATTTACACGGCGTGTGCAAATACACAAGGCTACTTCTCAATTTAAGAAATCCATCAGCATACAGCATACAGAGCAATTAACAATAGAGCACCGTCTCCTGTATATTACACTACACGTTTGTACAATCACAAAATACTTAAAAGACCAATAGGGTAGGCAAGTGCTGCATCTTCTAGTCAATGACTAATTGGATTGTATAAATCCAGTCAATCTTCATCTGATTCTGCAATCACGATTTGTCCATTAGAATAAAAGATGTAATACATGGACGCAGGGACAATTCGATTATTAAGGGTTTTCAGACTAAAGCAACTTTCGAGACAAAATGAAGGGCATGCTCATCCATGCAACAAGTAAATCATATCTTCCAGAATATCATGACAGTTGCATTAACAGCATACCATTTATGGCTTCCATGTTATCTTCCTCGAAGACACCAAGGGGTGAACCCCGGACAGAGAGAAGTATTTCACCACGTTTAGGCAGCCTTTGAGTTTTTGGTGTCATCCCAATGGACAGCCTCTGACTGGTAACCTGCAACAACGAGGCATGTCAGCCACTGTGGGCATTTCAGGAGCTTAAAATTACCAAGGCAAATTGAATTGCCATCCAGATGCACCATCAGACCACATAGATGCAAGAACAGAGAATGAAACCCTTTAAGCTTCAATGTGATCGCTATCAAAATCTTCCATGAGAGCTCATGAGACAGACCCTAGATCAGCCAATTTGTAGCAATGGAGCTGCATAGCAGCCACTAGATCTATCATCCAGTGGAAAAGGCTTTTGAGAAAACTTGTGCAGCAGCAACATGTTTTCCCAATGTTCCAAATCTTTCCACCTAAATAGGGTCGCTGGCTATGTTACATGCAACACTCAATTGCCCATATACTAAAAGATTATCTAAACTTCCAACCACCAACGAACAACACGTACACTGGTCTTGACTGTTCTAAGAGTTCTTCAGCACACGATGCAATAAAACAACCACTTGCCGCTTGCAATATCCTACTGTAAGAGAAGCTACAGTAATTTATGAAACCTTAAGGAGAGTATTGCCTTCCACTTGTCATTTATATTTGCTTGCAGAACTTTATAAAGGAAGAACAAGAGGAAAAAAATAAGATGAAGATCAAGGAGAAGCTACAAACCCCAGGGGTTCGGAGACCATCATGCATCCCAAGCATCTGAGAATCTGATTGACCCTCCAAAACCTATGGAAAAAGAAATGTCAATTGATGTATGATAAAGAATGGGATTTTGTCTTAATCTTTGGTGTTTTGAAGGCCTACTAGTGCACGTTTTTACAAGTTTAAATCATGAAGAAACTCATTTAGCTAAATCTGAAAAAATGGGACAGTTTTTGTGTTGCCGTTTTTTTAAAAGGAGATAAAAATGTTAGAAGTATTTAAGTTCTTCGACATTCAAGAAATGCGTAATGAGGTTCAAACTCCAGACTTTTCATCTTCAAACAACAAACCTCAACCAGTAAACCTGTCATAAAGAGAAGAAAACCTTCAACCACAGCAAATGCAACAAATATAACAAGCAAAAATAAAACATTCTATTTTTGAAAAAAATGGTTCTTGAAAAAAAAATTCTGTTTCCATTTTATTTTCATAAGATAAAAAGAAAAACCATATGCAACATACAATCTTTGTCATCTGCAAATTATCCGCAGCGCCAAGGATGCTTGTTTTCACTGCCACCAACCAAGCAACCATGTCAGATACACAACTAACTTCAATAAAGACAACATCCCATCTCCATTTCTTTACCTGCATCGCTTGATAATCCGAATCGACCAACAGATAAGTTAGCAGAACAACTAGGGTAAGCCAAGGACAAACGGCGTAAGAGAGAAGAATTTATGTTTGCCCCATCTGATAAATCATCAACATTCTCATTCCACTTCACAAGAAACTCTCCATTTTCCTCATTTCTTTCAATAGACAAGTTGGGCAGGTGTTCTTTAAAGAACTGTAAAGCAGGTGTATTCAGCTGTTCCTTGCTAAAATAAGAGCGCAGCAATCGCAATTCTGTTAGCAAATGCTCGATTCCCACATCACGCATTGACCTAATTGCCACAATTTGACGCTCCACTGCACAAAACAAATTCAAACCCAATTTTAACCCGAAAAAACCACATTTCTTGTTCTAAAACCCCACTATTCCCTTCATAGATACGAATAATTGCTTGAAGAAACGGAAAAAAAAAAGGTTCATAATTCTCAACAAAAACCCCAGTATTAAGTAGTGCTTATTTAACAGAAAAAAATGAAATTAAGAAAGAGCTTGGAAAAGTGTACCTTCTTGGTCGATTAATGGAAAATGTTTGGGTTCTTCAATTTGGGGCTGGTTCTCTTGGTTACTTGGTGCAGATTCTTTAACCGTCTTTTTAACTCTCCGTCTAGCCATTTTGTGCCAAACAGATCTTAAAGAAGAAGAGATTAAGCAATCAAATTGAGAAAGGAAACCTAATTCAAATGAAAATGTGAACAAACAAAATCATCAAGTGAAAATTCAATTTTTTTTGTTTTTGTTTTTGTTAAAGGAGGGAGGGAGGGAGTAGCGGACGAGGAAGAGATGCATGAGATCAATACATGCGGCCCATGGGTTCAAAGAGGCATCAAGCCTATTCTTCAATTTTTCTCCGTATAACTATGAGTCGATGATCCGACTAAACTTTCCTGTTTGGAAATTTGGAGTTCGGTCTAATTATTATACTATTATCCATAAAAAAATAATATTATGATAGTATATATTCAAATCATTTCGTCATTTTTGTAATTATTACCTTCAGAATAGAATTCCAAATTAATTTTTAATGTAAAAAAATAGAATAGAGAGAAATAAAACACTGCTAAATATGAGATTCAATGAATTCTTGTTGACACATATGATTATGAAATTCAATGAATTCTTGTTGACACATATGATAACTTAGCTAATACTGTGGGATAACATCTTGGAAACTCAAAAAAATGATGCAAAAGTTGAGAAGTTAAGGGGTTAAATAGAGTTGAAACAACCAACTCATTTTCAATCGAGAAAAAAAAAATAGAACTTTGATAATGGAAAAAGATTCTTTATACTTGAAGTTGAAGAATTGAAAGATGAAATTCTAAATAAAGTTCATGAATCTCGATTTACAATACATTTAGAAAGCACTAAAATATATAAGTACTTGAAGGAATATTATTGATGGTCAAGATGAAGGAAGAGATAGTGGGATTTGTGGCAAAGTATATTATATGTAAGTAAGTTAGGACATAGCATAAAAGGCCTGCAAGAGACTTCAGCTTCTTCTAATACTATAATGAGAATATTACTATGAACTTAGTTTATGTACTTCCAAAGAGTAGGAAGAGAAATGATATGGTTTGAATGATTGTAGATAGATTGACACATTCTACCCTGTTTTTACTAATAAAGAGAACAAATCCAGTAAATAAACCAGCCAGGTTATGTGTGGATGAAGTGGTTAGACTTCATGAAGTTTTAGTAATAATAGTTTCTGATTATGATTTTTGGTTTATTTTAAGGTTGTGGTCCAATTTACAACATGCCATGGAAACTAAACTGAACTTCAGTACAACTCTTCCCCAACATGTAGAAAGACAATCCAAGAGGATCATTCAAGTAATGGAAGACTTGTTAAGATTTTCTATCCTAAAATTTGGAGGACAATGGGAGGATGATCTATCCTTGGTGAAATTTGCTTATAACAATATTTTTCAAGCCACAATTACCATGACACATATTTATCAGCTTATATATATAGATTTATATTCTAAACTTCTTGGTAGAAATTATTCTAAATTACTATAGATTTATATTCTCAACTTCTTGGTAGAAATTATTCTAAATTACATGGACATATTTGCATCGCTTTAAATTTACATGTGGATTGGATGAAAAGAACTTTGCGATGTTTCTATAGGCATGCCTGAGACTACCAGGACGACTTAATTGTGTTGAATATTCTTTACAGGCATAAAAAAATATTTTGTACGTGATAATAAAAACAAAAAATAATTTTTTTTTGGTTGAAATTTCAGTAAAAACTAGAAAACAAATTTGTACGTGATAATAAAAACAAATTTTTTTTTTTGTTGAAATTTCAGTAAAAACTAGAAAACAATGGTTAAATATTTATGGGTAATGCCCCATATCATGATCCTGAGATAGATCCTGTCTCCTTTCTAGGATTAGATTAGTCTGAGCTTCAGTTACCATTCTAAACACACATAATTCACTTTGTATCAACTATTTTACTTTTACATCATAAATTTACACTAAGATCACAAGTAGGGATCTGATTCTAATTTTTTAACAGCTTAAAATTCTATTTTGCAAAATTAATTTTTAGTTTATCTTTAAAATATTGTCTGATTTCTTGTGTATTCGAGAGAGTATGCAAAGAGAAAAACAAACCGTTATATAAAATCAATTTAATATAACTTAAAAGGATGAATTTAAAAAAAAATTTCATTGATTGAGATAAAAATAATTATTCAGATAAACACAGGGCAAAATTAGAGGGGGGATTTTTTTTTTCAGCCCCTCTCCATAAATAAATTAGATTTTTAACCTTAAAAATAGAAAATATTAAATTTTGCTCTTCTCTAATTTGACGATTCCAAACTAAAATTTCTAGCTCTGCTCCTGGATAAACATGTCTACGGACTGTTCAACACCTTGTTTTTTCCTCTCAAAATCTTTAACTTATTTATTGTTAATTTGGCGATGTAAATACAATCTAGCCTTCATGTAGATTTTGGACATTATATTATCAAATGCAGACCTATATAATTATTTCATTTTCTTAAAATAACCAACCTCCCTCCCTCCCTTGTATTTATGTAATTTTATGGGTGTTAAAATTTAATGATTATATAATTTTTTAGTAGTTTTGAGAGAATTTAAATTAATAATTTTTAAAAAATAAATATAAAACTTAATTATTTAAATTATACCTCTTAGGATTAACCATCTTTTCTTTTGACATCAGGTAATCTTAATTTATTTAATAACTATTATTATTATGTAATGGAAAAAACAATATCTCCCAAATTGCTACACTCAAATCTATGTTGAAGAAAATCATTCGATAAATCTCAACACTCAAATCAATATTAAAGAAATCTACTCGTTGTTAATCCAAGAAAAATCACGCACAATCCTTGATTTAAGCATTGGGAATTTTAATAGGCCCATCAAAACAAATCAATTTAGTGGTAAAATTAAAAAAAATAAAATCTCAAGGCCCATCAAAACAAATCAAGCACCAGCCTAAATACACACAACAAGGCCCACCTTAAAAACCCACCAAAAAACCAAAAAAACCCTAGCATTTCACATCCCTCCTCCCTATATAAATTCCTTCACTTTCCTTCACTCATCTCTTTCCTGCAGCGCCCCCCTCCCAAAAACCCTTAACCCCCATAGCCAGCAGCTACAACAGCTACCATGAAGTATAACCCAAGGGTCTCCTCCTCCAGACGCAAGAGCCGGAAGGCCCACTTCTCGGCGCCATCCTCCTTGCGCAGGGTCCTAATGAGCGCTCCTCTCTCCACCGACCTCCGCCAGAAGTACAACGTCCGATCCATGCCTATCCGCAAGGACGATGAAGTCCAGGTTGTTCGTGGGACTTATAAAGGACGTGAGGGCAAGGTGGTTCAAGTTTATCGCAGAAAGTGGGTAATCCACATCGAGAGGATTACACGTGAGAAGGTGAATGGGTCAACAGTTAATGTCGGTATCAATCCGTCCAAGGTTGTTATCATGAAGTTGAGGCTTGATAAGGATAGGAAGTCTCTATTGGATCGCAAGGCAAAGGGACGTGCTGTTGGAGACAAAGAGAAGGGCACTAAGTTCACTGCCGAGGACATCATGCAGAGTGTGGATTGATTGGTTTGTTTGAAATGAAATATTTAGTAGGCAAGGTTTTGAATTATTTATCTATTTCCTTGATGCTATTTTTGAATATGTTTGGAGACTTAAAGGTTATTTAATGTGACCTTGATTTTGTTTCTTCCTGTTCCTCTTGTTTTGTTTCTGCTGCTGAAAGTGTACTTGGTTTCCTTTGAAAAGAGCGAAAATTGGGTATGTATCTGTGTGGATTCCGTATATTTTTATACCGTAGATGGCTAATTAGGGGTTTTGGGTACATAGTTGGGGTTTAATTGGTTAGATTCTGTAGATTTCCAATTGGTTGAAACTCCAGCAGGAGCTTGGAAATAACCAGTTGAACTGAACGTGTATGCTAAAGTTATGCTCCAAGTCTTATGTAGAAGCAGGGATAGGACTGGGAATTCGGTTGGGAGTTGGGTGTGTGGTTTGATTTTTAATTGGGTTTTGATTTCCTGTTAGGAATTGGTATTTAATTGGGTTTTGAAGAAGTTGTGTGTCCAAATAGTGGTATTTACTGAGTGCAGTTCTTAAGTTTAACATAGAAGCGTGGAAATATTTTTGACTATGTAGTAGCTTAGGCTAAAATTAGGATGTTGGCGTTCATTGATTTTTCATTCATTAGAGGACGTTGGTTTTTCAAGAATGTGGTAGACTTTATGTTAGTCTCAAAATGTCCGTTGAATTTGAATCAAGTGGATACCACAAACTTGATTTCAATTTATGAAATTTACTAGTGCATAATGCTTTTGCGGAGTCTACAGTGAGTGCAGGGTTACAGGTGGATTCTCTTATGAGATTTAGTGTTTCTTTTACATCGTTAACTTGTATAGTCCATGAACACCTTGGATTGCACGTTATAATATTGAAGCCTTTGCATTTGCAAGCTTATCATGTAGATTTTGTAAGTTGTATTTCATCGAATTGCTTGCTATCATGGCAGGGTTAGTAAATCTTTTGAGGTTGTTTGTGAATGAACCTTTATCAGTACACAGATAGGAGGTTTAGGATCGAGCTTACTTTTGGTTAAAGGTTATGGTTGTGGATCTTACTGCAAGTTTGGGTACAGTTGGTGGTATCTCAGTATAGCTCACTATCAGAACTTTCTGTGTTTGAAGAGCCTTTTGCTGACATAAATGACCTTTAGGATTGATTATAATGGTTTCTGCATATATCTGTTTTGTCTTGTGATTTAGGACTTTGTTGAGGAGGTATTTACTTGGACCGTTTGGAAATGTGGAAACGTGGCCGAATCCATGTTTTTAAAAAAATTAATTAAATTTTTTTGTTAAAAATTAATATATTTTAGTGTTTTTTATTATATTTGAGATAAAAAATAATTTTTTAAAAAATAAAAAAAATATTATTTAAATATATTTTTAAACAAAAAGATATTTTAAATTACAATTACTTCTACAATTTCAAACACTAAATTACTTGCTTGCAGCTTAAATACACGGCATGAAGAAATGCATAATCCTCATCTTCGATGATTGTGGGACTTTTCTGCATTAAAACTTGAATCCATTTTCTGTATAACGATGCTCCTACCTAGGGAAAATGTTAACATACAATCCTTGAGGGGAGAGCTATTACAATGGATGCTGTCTAAAGCTGCTATAATAGTGCCCCCACAATTTTTTATTTATTCCTTTGAATTCCGTCATCTTGATTTTTTTTTTTCTCCAAATATCGGTTTAGTGCTTTTTCTGGTTAGC